CTTCAAGGCTTAGCACAGAGCCCTGCAGGGAAGGCGGTGGGGAATGCAATGAGCATCTGTGGGATGGTTGGCAGCACCATTAAGATGCAGAGGCAACTGGCCGATTTTTACCTTCATTATCTTCCTTGGCCCGGAATCCTGTACAGGGCACGAGCTACCCCTGAAGGTGTAGCCAGTTTCTTCCAGCCCCTGAGTCTAGCATGCAAGGCACTAGGAATGCAGGCAAGACAGCTGGGAAGCTGACAAAGACTGTCAGAAATCCTGCTAGATCCACAAACATCCAGAGCAGTGTTCCCCAGAGTTCAAGATGGATACAGCGTAAGTGTCCCTCAACTGAAAAGGAATAAGCACAATGTGATCTAGACCCACAGTGGAACAATGTCAGCCCAAGATAGAATGACATGCTTAGTGCAAGCACGGGCCTTGACAACAAGTAATCTACCACTGAGCCTCCAGCCTCAGGATGCTAGTTAAAAGAACACAGTCACAAAGACCGTATTATTATCTACTTGAGTGGGATTTCTGGAAGAGCTGATCCAGGTAGAGTCCAGGCTGTTAGAGACTTGGGGTATTGGCTGATGGCTGTGGGATTTCTTTTGGAGTAAGGCAAATACCTGGAATTAGGTAGGTGTGACGATTGTGTAAGAGTATAAATATACTAAGACCCATGTTATTAGTTTTATTTTGGAGAAAGAATATCTCTAGCCCGGGCTGGTCTTAAATTTGCTGTGTAGCTTAAACTTGCTTTGACCTAAAACTTCTGATCTGTCTGCCTCCACTTTCCTGGTACTGCGATTACATGAATGTGCCATGACACCCAGTATATTCTATGCTGAAGATCTGTCTTGCTAGGCAAGCATTCTACCAACTGAGCCACGCACCCCTACTCTAGAATCACATATTTTGAAGGGTAAATTTTATGGTAAGTGATGTTTCCATTTAAAAAAGTCACAGAGAGGAAGCCCCCCTGGTACCTCTTTTGCCCTCTGATTTTCTTTTTCTTTTTTTTAATTATAGAAGGGTTCATAAGAGGACCTGGTCTCTGTGTGGCTGGGGTGGAGGTGGTAGTGTGTGGAGCACAGCTGGGCCCTGGCTTCAAGCCACACCAGCACAGCTGGAACCTGGCTTCAAGCCACACTAGCCTGATGAAACAGATGGGCGGGGAAGGGTGTGTATGAGGCAGCTTCCCTGTAAGCTCTAAAACCTGAGCCTGGGTGCATAAAAATCCCATAACTCTCCCACAGCAGGTCTCTGGCTGAGAGGAGAGGGGCTCAGTTTTGCCTTGCCCAGACTTTGGTATGAACATGGCATATCTGCTTCCTGAGGTCAGTGTGAAGGCAGTAGAGCCAAGTGAGTAGGAGATTAGAACCTTGGGTCACACTGCTGGGGGTTCAGTTCTCGTGTGTCCTTATCAGCTGTGTGATCTCGTGGAAAGTGAGTCTTCTCTGAGCCTCGCTCTTGTCACTAGTACCACAGGACAGTAGACCCTACCTGCTAGCGCTTGTTAAATGTGATGCACTAAAGTGCTGAGCATAGATCAGCAGCCGCGGGGCATGGTGGGTCCTGCTGGGGCTTGGGCTCTTCTCCAAGACCTCCTGGCACACAGAGGATCATCAGGTTTAGGAATGGAAATGGGTAGAACTGCTGACATGTCAGGGTGGCAGGAACTGGGAGTAGCAGGAGTGGCATTACAGCTGAGGAGGAGGAAGAGTGATTTTCCCTCCTCCATGGGGAGGATCCTCTCCCAGGGATTTCTGTGTGACCTGGGTTCCTGCGGACCTATTGCTTCCAGCTGGAGTTTAGCCTCTCTTGGCCAAGAAGAAATAGCAAGAAAATGTCACCAAATTCTTCAGGGACTGGAAGCCAGCAGCTAAGGATGACAGTGTCTCCATCTCATTTCAGCCTGGTAGCTAAGAAGGCCCTGGAGTTAACCTCCTGCCTAGGGTGCTGTCTATCATCTCAGCGCATCTCTGCAACTGCTCATGCCACAGACCAGTGCAAACAGGAGGCCTGTGACAGGGGACAAAAGCAAGAAATGCAACTTCTGCCTGATGGAACAGCAACAGGAAAAGCTAGTGTTTGTAGAAGGGCTCAGAATCACTCATTAGCCAAGGTGGCAGATTATGGGATGCTCTGTGCATCTCCAGTAAACCATCGGCTGGTTCTAGACCCATGCTGGGGATGAATAGAGCGCTTTGTGGAAGCTTCGCCAGACACATTTACCGCTTATCGGAAAGTCAGCTGTGCTTGTATTCATACTGGTGTGTGCCAGTTACACATGAGCTTGCGATTCTGTGACGTAGTGATTGATATATGGTGCAAAAGGAAAGAATTATTGTTGCTCAAAAAACGAGGTAGAAAGCTTTGGAAAATTTGAGACTCAAATTTGCTTTAAAATGCTGACTACCTCAGATTGGGTAGGACACACACAAGAGACTGGAATGAAGATGCAGAAAGATCCTATAGCCAGATTAGAGTTACCAAAGTCAATGTTCTTATTCCACCTGACGCGACATTGGAATTCAAGGATGTTTTATTCTAAAAAAGGTTTAAGCAAGTAAAATGATAAAGTTTAGTCAGAAAAAAAGATGTTGGCTCTCTACCAAAAGATTAGCAAATGAATACATTTTAAATTAACATAAAGCATTTTTGTGTGTGTGTGTGTGTGTGTGTGTGTGCGCGGTTGCTCCTTTTTTAATCTAGCCTTTCAAATTAACCAACCCTTAAACTAGCTGTGCTGAGACAGAAGATTTATGGTGCCTGGATGTCTATTGGTCCTTCACACCTCCTCCTTTCTCCTAAAGTTGGGCAGCAAGTACCTACCCAATGTGTGGAACCATGAGTGTTCCCAACCACTGTGGTCCCAGAGTTGGTTCTCAGAGCAACAATGACATTATCGTAGGTAATTTAGAGTTCATCTGTTGAAATAAGCCTCAACATTATCCTTCCTGCAATGTGCCATGTGACCTAGGGTATAGGGCTGGGGAGATGACCAGGGGGTGAAATGGATGAATCTGGATCTGGATCCCTAGCACCCCTGGAAAAGCTGGGTGAAGGACAGATGCAACTCTGGCACTGAGTGTTTCTTTTCTGACAGGATCTCACTAGGCTGCCCTTTATGCTACATAAATCAGGTTGGCTCTGCACTCACAGAACACTGCCTGTCTCTCCCCGTAGGCACTAAGATTAAAGGTGTGCACCACTACACCTGGCTTGTAAACCCAACACTGTAGGTTTGGAGACAGGGGAACCTTGGGGATTGCCTGAAACAGCAAGCTGCAGGTTCTGTGAGAGATTGTGTCCCAAAAACTAAGGTGAAGAGTGATGGAAGAAGGCACTGGACATTGACCTCTGGTCTCTGTATGCATGCAACAGGAAGTGCAACCCACCCTTTTGCACCCAATACACATACATACACACACACATGCACACACCTTCTCTCTTCCTTTCCCCCCACATGAGCACACCCTCTCTCCCTTCTCTCTCTCTGTCTCTGTCCCTTTCTCTGTCTCTCTTCTGTCTCTGTCTCTCTCTCTCTCTCACACACACACACACACAGTTTTTTTTTAAAGTAGACAAAATTTTGTAGAACCCAAGTTAGCCCAAACAGTTCATCTTGGGATGGCTTTTTAGAAGACCCAGTAAGTCCTAAGAAAGTCCATACACTGTAAATCAAAGCTTTGAGGCTCACAGAATGATGCACAATCCCTATTCTTGGGAGATTTGCCACAGCTGGAGAGACTATGTACTTAGACAGACACACCCATACCCACAGCAAGCACTATAGAAAGTTTACTCTCAGTGTCAGAGGATGGCAAGATCAACAGGTACTTTAACTCTAAATGACAAATCAGCTACTCACCTCTAGATTTCACAAATACTAGGACTCAAGCCTTAAAAACCTTACTTGGAGCTCAGTGTAGTGGTACACAGCTGTAATTCTAGCATTTTGGGAGACTGTAACAGAATGATCATGAGTTTGAGGCCAGCCAGGCCTCATAGTAAGACCCTATCTCAAAAGCAAAACCAAACTGTATACAACTTTGCTCTTCGTTCATTGTAGTAGAAAGTCCAAAAGGGAAGAGTTTCTCTTTGTTGTTTTTAGGCAGGGTCTTGCTATATAGCCCCGGCCAGCCTTGAACTTATGCTCTTTTTGCCTCAGCCCATCAAGTACTAGAATGTGTACTACCACCATGCCCAGTGAACAGTTTATTAAGGGCTGACCTTAAAGGTCTGTATGTTTGTCCTCTCTCTCAGCTTTCACCACTCTGAGAAATAAATGCCATTGGCATTATCGCACCACCAGTAGAAGAAGCAGTCCACGCCCTAATGTACCTGTCTTCGAGCCTGTCTTCCCTCTAGTGTGTCTAGTCACCAAGCGCTTTTCTCACCAGTGTCTCTGCTGGTACTGGGGAATGAGAAGGTTGTCTGTGTGCACAGGTGACCATGCTTCTCTTGGTGCTTCTGCCTGTGTGGTTCAGACACGGTCTGCAGAGGATGGCTAACTGAGTATGCTCATTTTGATAGAGTTCCCTAGGCTTCTTCTGTTTAACCCATGAGTTCTGAACTCTTTGGAAGCCCAGGGGCCACTCTCACCCTGACTTTCAAGGCTACCACAATGAAGGCACTGATTGTAGGAGGACTGTGCCAACACAGGTTGCTTCCAGGATGGAGAAAGTATTATGTACTTGCCCAGTGCTTGTCCCCATCACCTCCTGTGTTCACAGTCTTCTTCATTTTTGAACTAGTAGTAGCAGCAATTACTCTGAAGTCCTTGGGCTCTAGTTCCACATAAACCTCCTTCTTTGATCTGCCCTGTAGCTGATGATCCAGCATAGCCTTCTTCTGAGATCACAGTTTCTGCATCCAGAGTGTGGTACCTACGCAGTGGGCTACTTATCACCTCCTTTTGCGATTCCACACCCCCAACATGCATATACACAAACGCGCGCGCATGCGCGCCCACACACACACACACACACACACACACACGCACTCACCATGAGATGCTGGAAAAGCCAAGAACGCATTATATTGGTGGCATGCTTGGGCAAGACTCCTCGTTTGTTCTTGGACTTCTTATCCTCATTGTCCAGGAGGGAGGTGAGGTCAAGGTTAACCTTCAGGGCACGTGAAGAAAAAATCAGCATCAGCAGCCTGTGTGGCCAGCGGCTAGGGACCTGTTGCCATAGTAATGGCACACTCTCACTGCCAACCCCCTTTTCCCAAGTTATTCTTGGGGCCCTGGGGAGGTCACCTTTTTCTCTGACCCCATACTACCCCCTCAGAGAATGGAGATGATGTTTGGGGTAAGAGGAGTAGTGTAAAAGGAGGAAGAGGAGGGGAAAGGGGGGATGGGAGAGGAAACAGCAGAGAAGGGTCATGCAGAGAGCACTGAAGGTGAAAATTTACCACAAACCATCCAATAGTTATTAGCATTTCTGTGATACTTTTACACTTTGCAAAGCACTTTCTTGTCTCTCACCGTGGTTAATCTTCATCACAGCCATGTAGGTTGGCTGTGATGGTATTAATCCTTCTTTATTGATAAGAACTCAGGCTCAGAGAGGTAGGGAATTCATGCAAGATCACAGTTAATGTCAGATCTCAGGCGTCTGACTTCAGAATCTTTCTATAGATCTGAACTCTATATTACTGAGGTGCAGAGTGATTGGAGCTGAGATCAAGCACAGGAAATGCAGGGTCCTTTGATTTAAACCCTGGAGGCAAAGAAAACCCCAGGGCTGATAAAACCTTGCTTAGATCCAGCCTCCTGTCCAGAAAGCAGCGTTTTAGAGCTTAGGATTAAGTGAGCTACTTGCAGCAGCGCCCGGCAGACAGTAAACTATCCCAGACACCCTCCCACTGTTCATGCACAAAAGCACACACCTACACACACTCACCTGTGTATTCTGGATCTGGATGGCTCCCTGGGGGATTGCTTGGGTGACCACCTGACCCTGGGAGGTTACCATGGTAACCGGTTGATATAAGGCTCCACCTGAGGAGACAACCAGTTTTGGGGTTCCCTGCCACGGGGGTGTGAAAAAAAGCCAAGGCAAGCAGGGTCCCCAGTTGCTTGGCACTCACAGGTGAAGATTCTTGGGGACAGGGGCAGGATGTATGTTTGCTCGCCTTGTAGGAGAGGAATGGGTGAGGTGAGAGAGGATGTCCAGAAGGAAAAGCAGAGCCTCTGGTGGGAAGTATTTAGGAGAAGGGACAAGGCCTTACTTAATCTTGAATGTGTGTGTGAGGCTTGGGGGTGGGGAGAAGGAGTATCATGAGATTTTGACTTAAAATTGTTCCTACCCATCGTGATCAGGTCCTGGTGCTCACCGTGTGCTGAATGCTTTACTGAAGTAACTAAACTGGAAGTCCCTCCCTTAGCAGAGGACACCCCCTAATCCCAGAATTCCCTAGAGGCACCCCTTCTTCTCCCAAGATGCTTCCCACAATCCCCAGAACCCTGCACCAACCTGACACGACTTGTGAGTTGACGGTTGTCATGGCGATGTTGCCCTGCTGGAGTGCTGAGGCTGGGACCACAATCCCCTGGGGGTTATTGGAGACTCCAGACATGGAATTGGGGGAATTCTGCAGGAGGTCCTGGCAGTAAGGGAGGGGTGGTTTGTGATCATGTCCCCAAGAGCTTAGATGCTTCAGTTCCAAACTCTTCCCCCTCCCTCTCTGCTACCAACACCCCAACTCCTGTTCCTCCCCCACACAAACCAGAAGGCAGTTCTCAGGACTGTGAATAACAAGTCCCGAGCTGAGAATAAATAAACAAAGGCCCATAATAGTCCTATACTTATATTTCATCCCACTGGCACCATGAGGCACAAATGATCCCCTGAACGTCAGGGTCTCATTTCAGCTACAGTTTGGAATCTGCAGTTACGAGGTCTGGGTTCCAAGCCTGGAGACTCTTCTTTAATCGGTCACGGTGTGTTCCAGGCTTTGGAGTTTTAAAACCCCCCAGGAGATCCTGACTTGCAGAGACCCTCCATTCACTTTCACTCAGATGCATGCTCAACTGCTCAGATGTTCACCCTGACCCTCCCCTCCTCCAGAATGTATCTCTAGCACAAAGCAGCCTCCAATGTTTTATTTGTTTGTTTATTCACCCTTTGCAGTGTTGGGGTTTGTGCACACGCCGGGGCGCCGGGCAAGTGCTCTGCCACCTAAGCTACACCCTCATCTCCCCCACCCCCCAATGATATGTCTTTGTACATTCATAGCACCTATATTATGATACTAAAATATTTGTTTAAAAAAAATATGGCCAACTTTTGTCACTGTATAACTTGTCTTCTAGCAACATCGCATATAAACCTTGACTTGAGCACATGTTATCGACTCTTCTGACTTCTCTGAATTCTCAACACAAAATTATACTGGGAACACAATCCCCTCTGCTCAGATTGCTAAGCAGTTTGTTTTCGCAGTAGGAAAGGCAACTAAGGAGATAGGTTTTTTTCCCTGATGTCTTGTTCCCCTCATCATTCTCTTCTAGCAGTCAGTGAGGAAGTCCTAGGATTTGATTTTGAGGGTCTCCTGACACCAGAGGAAGAGGCTTAGCTCCAGACCTCCAGGATGAAGCAATGGGCCCTTCCTGCTTTCTCGGCACCTGTGCATGGTGGCTGGCTGCTCGAAAGATTTGTGCAAGAGAAACTGAATGTGTGAGAGATGGGTGTGTTTAGGTTTGGAGAGAGCAGGAAAGAAGGCAATAAGGTACAGAGGAGGGAAGCCTGGGAGCCCAGCATGGCTGTCTGAGTCCTTCACAGCCTCAGATTGTTCAAGCCCAGAATACAGGGCTTGAACAAGTTACTGAACCCAATGAACATTAAGGCCCACATTCCAAAGCTTAAAGCTGGGGTCATAAGGCATGATTAGTAAAGACTTGGAGACAAGTACGTGGCCAAGAAAATAGCGTAAACCTAGGGGTAGGATGACCACAGCTTCCTATCTTTTATTTTAGGACTTTAAAAAGTTGGGCCTTTGGCCTTCAGGGGAGGCTTGGAATCTGGACTGAGGAGATAGGTACCCACAATTAGAAGATAGCTCTAGTCAACAACTGCCTAATGATAGATACTAAAGAAAGGAAAATGCCCCAAGCACTGAGCACAGTCATAACACTGTTTCTTCCACTGTGACATCAAGCAAGTCAGCAGAGCCTGGAGGGAAGGGGAGGCCAGCAATGATGTGTCTCCTCCCAAGTTACCACTTTTACACTGCTGGATCATCCCTGGTCCAGAGCTGGGGGAGAAAACCCTACAGATAAGCAACACCAGGCCCTGGAGTCCAGTCCTCCATCCCACCCACTGCCGTACGGGGCCTCTGGATCTGCTTCTTGAGGAGGGTAAGGCAAGAGAATTCAATTAAAAAAGAATTCAATTCTATTGTTAGTTCTTCTTGGTCTTGGTGACCTTGGGGGAAGGGAGAGGCAATTCATGCCTTGGCTTCCCCTCTGGGGGGCTCTGTGGGAGCTTTCCACCAATGAGATCTGTACAGTCACACAAATGGAGTTGAAAACTGAGCTTGGCACGCCAAAGCCTAGAATCCGCAAAAAGCTACTGCATGTGCCAGCCTCCTGAGGAGCACAAGAAAATAAACTCTGAAGGTCCTAGTGGCTTACCCAAGTCACACAACTGATTGTCAGTCAAAGGACTAGATCCCCCCTTTCCCCCAGCCACAAATACTGAATACCTACTTTGAGCTTCGAGGGGCTACTTGAATCCTACCTACAGAAGGTGAAAACAACCCCAAGTCCAGAAGCAGCATAAAGAAGACGCCATCTTGGGAATCACACTGTGCCCCTCTGGAGGCCTTACGTTCTTATAGCAGTGGTTCAAGCTAGTATCCAGGAGCTTTCAAAGCCTGAGTTTTCAGTCATGAGGCTTGAGAGCTCCTGGTGCCAGCTTCCCATACAATCCTTCCCACAGGATGGAACCAGTCCTAAAGATGGTTGAAGCAGAAGTGAACTTATTCAGTAGATTTAATAGAAGGGACCCCAATGTCATTAGGACTAAAGCCCCCAGAAGTAGCTACTCAATAATCTCTCATTTGGAGTCAGCTATGCTGTGGTACTCCAGGTAGAGATAAGTCAGAAATTTAAATATAAGCACTTGTCCTAGACTCTCTTTACCACCCTGAAGTATCTAGCAAGGTCAGGACAACACAAAGAAAAGTGGCATACGTAAAAGACATGCCTTCTGGGATTCAACTAACACATACTGATTTTTTTTTTTTTTAACCAAAGACAGAAGGGCAAGCCCTACCTGGACACCTCACCTACTTACGCAAACTCTGGCAGCTTATCTTCCTGTGGCTTGGAAAGCCTCCATGCCCATTTACTCGGTTTGAAGAACTAAAGGCAATTTTTGTTCTGGCTTGGATCATTTTTCACCTCTGCTCCACCCTTCTCTTGTTTGGCTGTGAGGTGCTGAGAAGCAGCCAAAGCATACCAGCAAAAGGGTAGAATGGAAAACTTCGGGGGTAGAGGCTGCAGGTAGAGCCAGGGTTGGCAACATCTTAGCTGGGGCAAGAAAAAGAAAGTGAAGTCCTGGCTCCCCTGCGTTTGGTGCTCGTCCCCTGCATCTGCAAACAGGGCTGTCTCACAAACCTCCTGAGTTCTCAGATTTTTTTAAAGAAAAGTATTTGTTTCATTTTGAATTACGCATGGATGTACACATACGTCCATGTAAAGGCACGTGCACACGTGGGTGCAGGTACCCTCAGAATCCAGCAAAGGCCATTGGCTCCCCTGGAGCTGGAGTTATAGGCAGTTGTGAGTCACCTGATAGGAATGCTAAAAACTGAACTTAAGTCCTCTGCAAGAGCAATACATGCTCCTAACCACTGAACCATCTCTCCATCCCACACTGGGACGTTTTTAAAGACATGGGTCCTCAGGGCCACTGAAACAGACCCTCAGCAATCTGTATTTTCAAAACTTTCCTCAGCTAGCCTCAGATCAGCTAGCATCACATGGATCTGGAGATTTCCAATTTCCTATATGCATGCACATCAAAAGATGTTCATTTACCACTTGATTTCATGTTAATCTCACCATCACCTAACTAGGTCAACAGGTGAGAGATTGTCCCATTTTCCTTGAAAGGACTGAGGTCCAAAGAATGGAAGGGACTTCCTTGACTCAAATAGCTGTCAGACTGCGCCTTGAGTGTATGATGGAGGCTAGCACAGAGTGGAAATGAACTTTGGAGTTAGATCTACGGGCTCTACAACAAAATACATTGCCTGGCACTGAGTTTAATGATTTCTTCTCCTCTCCATATGGCCAAGGTCACTTGAGTGGCAGAACAGGGGTTAAAATTGTCTTCAAAATCCTAGAGCTTTGGTGTCCTTTACTTAGCAGCAGCAGAAGCTGAGCTGAGGCTGCACACCCAGGCACACCTTGACCTCATTGGTGGTCTCATCCAATGTACCTCTGAAGCCTGGTACTAAGCCTCAGGAATCTAAGCATAGCCCCTGCCTCAGAAGAGAGCAAATACTTCACCTTGCTATGACATCAGCTTGCACATTAGTCTAAGGCTCTGTGGAACGGTGACAAGGCAGTTCTAACTCTCTAGGGACAGTCTCGGTCTTTTCTGAAGAAGCCAGCGAGGTAGCAGTGGAAGCCCTGGGGAATTACCTATCAGCTAAATACATGGTACCATTATCTCCTCGACAGCTTCCTCAGAGGCTTATCTGACTCTGTACCCCGGTGGCCGCTGCAGTGTGGCCTCACAGAGAGACAACCACCATGTAGTGAGAAGCACTGTTGCGGTGTTAGTGGCCATTCCAGCATCCCTGCTTGAACTGTCCAGGCACCAGGCATGGAGGGCCGCTTGTCCAGCCCACAAACTCTGCCGTGTCTCCCTGGGGAGCCTCTAGAAGCCTGGGCTCCACAGGTGGTATTAGAAGCCTGTGCTGTCCCATCCCCCCCCCCCACCACACACTGTTTATTTGAGACATAAAAGCAGTGAGTCTCTCAGAAGGCGCTGATCAAGGGGGAACAAGTTTACAAAAGCAGAGAACTTGTGCTTCAGGAATGCCACCAGCAACACCCTTACCCCTGTGCTCATCACTTATTCTTATGGACACAGTGGTCATCATTTGAGTTTTAGTCCGAGTCTCATTTTTGGAACAAACAAGATGACTTCTTCAGAGGAGGGGATTTACTAAGAAACAAGAGAGGCTTTGGGGTGGCTCTTGAGAGTATGTGTGTGGGGTACCAGGGCACACAAAAAATGACTGAGACTACAAATTTAGATATGTGATCTGACTTCATCTGGGAAAAACTGTCCCTCTCCTGAGTCGTCTGTCTTCACTTTAACAGGGAAAGGACCTCAGAAAGTTATTTTTCATCCACAGAAGATAATTCTTGGGAACACACACACACACACACACACACACACACACACACACACACACACACAC